CGCATTTTACGTGGTTTGCCCATGACGCCAACTTGAAATTTTATTATGCGATGTATATTATGTTGAAATATTATCTACAGAAGTTAATGTGATTTATATAATCGTGTTTAATGCATTTTTTGTGGTGGTGGGTCACCAGCAACCCCCAAACATCTGTAGACCATTTTTTGCGATTTATAATTTAAATTTTTACGATTTATGATTCTTCAAACCATTACAGTAACAATGGTACTAATTAAAAATTTATCAGTAACGATATTTACTTTAAATATGTATTTTACTATTGTTAGCGTCGCCAGTCACCAATGGCACCCACGGCGCTGTAGTCGAGTGCCGGTCACCGATGACCCCCACGGCAGTCAACGTTTTAATAGCCCTTCTGAGCAAACTGTCCATTGGGCTAAAAATAATAATAAACAATGATGATAATTCAACAAAGCTAAAAATAAACAATGATGTTAATTCAACAAAGCTAAAAATAAACAATGATGATAATTCAACAAAGCTAAAAATAAACAATGATGTTAATTCAACAAAGCTAAAAATAAACAATGATGATAATTCAACTCAAGTAACAGAAAAAGTAATATGTATTAAATTTGGAAAAGAAGAATTCATTGATTACTTTTTGAAACAGGTATGATATTTGTTCCCTGCTCATGACACATCAGCTAATTTTTTTTAAAAGTTTTTCTTACTAGTACTTATTATTGATATGGAAAAGCATCACAATTTGTATGGAATTAACTTACCAACTTTAATTTTTAGTAAAGAGTTTTAACAATATTTTTTCATGAAATAGTAGAAAACTGATGCAATACCTATTTTAAAAACATAAACAAAATACCCATCTTATACGTTTTTATGAATAATAATTGGAGCAGCACACTAAGTACACTGGTTTAGTCTTCCCATTAATAAAAGAAATAATTATCAATTACCTGAAAATTATCGATAATGACCAATAAATTTCAGATATGCACTACAGATGATGATGAAAGCAATCTGTAAACTAAATGGTATCATATAATAGTACACTTATTTATATTATTAAATAGTGAAGAATCTGTATGTATGTACATATGTTCCTCATACAGCAGAAAAATAGCAGTGCTAGATTCATCGAATTTTAAACATACATAGTTCAAACAAACAAATAAGCATGTAATTTTTAACTAACCACAAAATGGAAATAATTTAATTACATTCATCTTAAAAATCCATAAATATAAAAAATTAATAATTAAAAATACTGCTTGTAAATCATATGATATTTAATCAGAAATTTTCATTTTATTCCACAAGCAGAAATATCACTAAATTGATTTATATATTACTGAAGCAAATATTTTAAATCGCAAATAATTACACAGGAAATTATAACCAATAAACTATATATTTTTTAAAGTTGGGGATCCTGATTTCTACAGGGAAATAAATAATTCAAATTTTAGACAGGCAAGAAATATACATATAAAAATCAACAAAAAAAATTAAAAATTCATTTATAAATTACGAATGTAAAGATTTATATGTAACATACTTTACAAGCTTAAATTCTGAATTCCTTTTTCGATAACATAGTTCTTCATTTAATTGCATGTTTACTTTTTCAACGAAAACGGTGTCAAGAATCCTCATACCTAAATTTGCTCAAAATACAATCTGATTATAATTATTTTATTAATATTCTTTCACAGGTTGTTCTTGAATGAGGCAGATTTTTTTGCTGGATCTGGAAACAATGTGATTCAAATTAAACTGCTATGAATGGTCCAAAACTGAAATTGGAAGGTTGTGTTCTATTAAAAATCAAATTAAATAGCATTTGGATTTTACAACATATGTATCATTATTCTTTATGAAGAAATTTGGTAGTTCCTTCGATTTTATAGCTATCACTAAATACAAGCAGTTTTACACTCACTGATTTACAGCAGGGTTTCCCAGCTTTTCCTTGCATTGACTTCTTTTAAAAGTTTGGTTTTCTTCATCGACCACATTATATTTTTCTTTATAATATATAGCATACAAAATAATCAAAATACAAATAATTGCATATAAATAACTTAAAGATAAGAATTAGACTAACAATATGAAAAAATATTTTGGAAAGAAATGGTTTATTAGATTTAGCTATTTTTTGTATTAATATTATAAACAAACAAATTTTCAGGAACAAAATTATAAATTCTCATTGTAGAAAGTTTGATTTTAATTAATTTGATGTATTAATGCATTTTAAAAAAAATATTTGTCAAAGAACTGCTGAATTTTTGAAAATATTAAATCTGCTTCTTGCTTTCTCTAGCAAATCAAGGCAAGAAAAATCAATAATGTTGTTCGACAAAAATTTTTATTTGGGGATATTTCTCTCAGATGACTAAAATTGAAAAACTTAAGTACCTATGTGTTGAGTAAGACTTAAGTTTCAACATCCTGCTTCAGTGCAACCAATTTGTTTTGCATTATAATATTACGATCAGATATATCGCAGTTCAGCAGTTTTATGACCCATGTTGGCACATTCAGATTCTCAATGTCTTGGATTAAAACTTCTTTTAGATTTTGCAAGTAGCTTGTATATAATAATATATTTTATGGGGAAATACAATCCTTTACAATAATGGACAATCACATTAGTATTCTCCCCTTATATTTATTTTAGATGAATTCTTCTTTACTACTTATATAAAAAAACAATCATTAATTTTTAATACTGTTTTTGTAACCAATAAAGCTTGACATATTTTAATATATGGAAATTCTGTAGATTATGCATCTTGGCTTGATAAATTTTGGCTCTTACTCTCAGGTGACATAATTCACAAACTTAACAAATTTCCAATTTCGATTAAAACACACAAGATCCATATGCAAAGTTTTTTTTTTTTTTTTCCATAATATAAACAAAAGATAATCTACAGTGCTTGATAGGAAAGCTAAGGACCAGAGTTTGCTGAAATACAACTGGTTACTCTTCAAAATGAGCAGTAGTGAGGATTTCACCAATCACTGGAGGAAATGCTGGTTCTATTTTAAATACCATTTCCCTTGCCCCCTTTTAAAAGTAGGATGGAGTTCTCCATCTCTATTATTATTGATTACTTGCTGTATCCATGAATTACATATTTTTTACTCTTTATAATAAGTATTTTAAGTGGCTGGCTGCACAAGCAACTAGTTTTATTGATGATATTCTGAAGCTTTAAAATTTTACAAATAAAATGTGTATTGCAATATATAAATTTTGTGATAAAACCTAACTCTATAAATCTTAGATTATTAATGAATAATTTTAATAAAAATATATAAGATTGGGTAATGATTCTAATAATTTTATTAAAAAAAAACTTTTTAAAACAGTAATTACTTTTCACATGAAGTGTCTTCAGTTTAAAAATCTAGATTTCCCAAAATATGAATCTATTTTTTTCCAAGTCTCTTTCTTAAAATTAACTCAAAATGTCTAGCCACTCCTCCTATATCAGATACCTTAAGAAATGCTGCATGGAGAATATTTTAACACACAGTTTCAACACTTATCACAGAGATAAGTTTCTCTTATGCAAGAAAGCAGACTTTTGTTCACATAGCTTCATAAATTAGAACAGTTAATCAATATTAGAAGTCTGAATTATCAGAAATCTTGAAGTAGTAATTTCTGTTAGATACGTTAAGAACTTCAGCTTTTGTCTGAATATAGCAAAATTTTAAATTAACAACAAATCACTATTTACATTAATGCTTATAGCTTCACGATTTGCAGCAAAAGATATACCTACATCAGAATTAGGTTAATTAACTATGGCAAAGCACAAGAGGGCTATTAGGCTTAGGGAAGAACTGACTTTACAGAGGATTTCCTCCACCCTGGGGGTCGACGTACTAGGCAGTCTCGGCCAAGGGGGTATAAAATTGATGAACTTGATGGTTCTGAAGGCCCCGGGAAAGGTCACTCATTGGCCGGCCTCGGGGTCTGGCATGTCCTGAACGGTTGGATCCGTAGTCGAGGGGGGGGTGGTTCCTCGGTTTGCTGGGTAACAGCCTTCTGCGACGGGCTCGCCCATGTGACTGGCAGGAGCAGGAGCAATTGACGACCAGTGCTACCTGGTGTCTTATCCAGGTGGTGCGCTGCTGCCCTGGAAGGGTAATAATGGAGGTTGAACCTCCACGAAGTGCCCAAAGGGGGAGTGGACCTGTAGTGTGATTGAGTTCACGGAGCAGGGAATGCCCAAATCTTGTTGTTTATAGAGGATTTTCTAAAGAAGCTGGATCATAATAATATTACACATAAAGAAAATCGTGAAAACCTTTATGCAGCTAGCGCATTTGACAGGATTTTAGCTCGGTTTGAACTACAACTACCAGTGTTCAGCAGCCTTATTCATTTGGCTCCCTTCCTTTAAATACTATTATTTTATTTAAACAATTAGCCAGAAAAGGTACTTATGGTTGCTATACTTTCATCCATTATCCCTCATAATAATTTTACAGCAGGTGTGTTTAAAAATTTGTTACTAAAAAAAAAAAAAAATCAAAATATATATTTTATACTTTGTCTCTCCAGGGTATTACACAAAATTATTAAAACTGACTGCTTAAAAATTATTATTTTATTACATATGATAAATAAATAAAACAATTTTGTCCAAAACATTTCCATCCAATGCTTAACCACAAACAACCCAGCTTTTATTTCTTCACCACTAAAGTATTTAGACTTGCCTATTAGCAAGCAAAATATGCTTCTAAGGGAGTTCAAAAGCACACTATTGTTAATGGTTTAGAGAGCTGTAGGATGCCACTTTTGTGATAAAATTCCTAAAATTATTATTGAATAATTTCTATTTCTGTTACTAAATCAAAATAAATTTTAAATAGAAATAAAACCATAGAATAATTCTCATTTTTAATTTAAATTATAAACATATCAGTTCGAATTGTACATGCATGTCTGATCATGACTATAGTGAAGAGACAGTAACAGTTAGTCAAAATATGAGTGGAAAAACATGATTTTTATTACAAACAGCTTATTACACAGTAAAATTCATTTCAAGGATTAAAAGTGACAATATAACATTTCATTCACAGTTCAATACATACAAATCTACTGCAACTAATATTCACACAGTATTAACAACTATTTATTGTGCAAATTGAAATTCTGCACATTTTTATAAATTGATTATCATACAAAAAGTCCTGAACTTTCCTTGAGGATATAAATAAGTACTTGGAATAAAATATACATTTTATCTTGAGTTTCTTTTAAATATGCATTTGAAAACTAATATAACAATACTGTAATTATGCATCCTCTTAAAAAGTTTTTAACAGTTATGTAAGAAGTAAATTTCAGCCAAAGGGTAAATGAAAGCACTGGATAAAATATGAAATATAAAAAGAAAATATCTGGAAAGTAATGAGACATATAAAGCACATACGCATCTTTTATAATTATAACAGAAGGTTAAAGCTTAGATTTAGTCACGTGCAATAAAATACCAATTCTGGAAAATGCAACTGAGTATGATTGATGAATCACAAAAAATATAAAGCCTGATTATAAAATTATTAAAAGCAATTCTTAAAACTAATTTTATATCTGTTCTTTTAATAAATATTTATATTGCATCCAATTTATTTTACAGCATCTATTTATACATAAATATGTAATATACACTTCCATTTAAATTAAATATCAGATCATCTCATAATAAAAAAATCCAAATTTACAAAGAAATGTGAATCACAAATGCTTAGTATGAAAATTGTTGAAGGAAACTGCAAAATAATTTAATAAATTGCATTGATGATTAAAATGCTAATAAAATTGTTTCCACTAGAATTTTCAGTAAATATATACTTTTAATACAATAAAAGACATTTATCATATAGACAGTATATTACAATAAAACAAATGCTCTGAAATGCATAAATTACATTTAAAAAATATTAATCAAACTTCTAAATCCCAAATAAGATGATTGTCACCTTTCTGATGGACATACTAATTCATGGATCAAAAGTTAAAATCCTTTTAATAGGTCTAAAACTCACAAGAAAAATAGTATCATGACTCTGCATTATTATCATGCTCTTAAAGAATATTTCAGAGCTTGCTTTTTTTCTGGTGGTACATCTAGAAGAAAAAGAACCCAATTAATAAGATTAACCAACGTTATTATTACTGTTCAGTAAGTACCATAATATAGGAGGACTTGCAATTTAGATTAAAGTTTTTATACAAATTCACAATATTTTATAATCAATTGATAACCAAAATATACAAAAGAATTAACATAAACTCAAATACTGATTAAAAAAAAACTGATGATGCATTTTATTGTTTGATTATCAACTCTGTGTTTTCATATTAAAGTCATAACTATTTATATAGTATCCACCTTAAACATTTATTTTTTTCCTGAATTTGATCCAAAAAACGTCACATTTTTTACTACATTTTCTTGTGCATTTTAAATTTGTAAGTAAGAAAATGTTATTAAAATTAACATCTGTAATATTTTTAAGTATTTAGAACAATTTTTTACTACAAATAAAATAATAATATTTCCCCGGAAGTTGCCATTTCTTTCGGTATGAGCAGCCAACTTGGAAGTTACATTTACGGTTGTATATACAAAAAAACATAATTACTTTGTAATTACCGTACTTGATGGCATATAAGATGCACCCTTATTTAGAAGGCCACACACAAGGTAAAAAAAGTTTCAATAGCACCAGCCCTCAGACCCTGAAAAGTTCTGATTCCCATGTTTTTCTGCAAATCTTTTGGCCTCATTGATTATCATTTTAGTTGAAAACACTTATCCCAGATTTCCTCTTATCTATCACCCACATATTTACGGCATTTTCAAGTTCAGGCCAAGATGGAGCTGGGCATCGAAGGTTATGTTTTTGTTTTTTAGCAGTCTTCAGTTGATCTTCCTGCAGTCGCCAAGTACGTATCATTTTTTTTCGGTAGGTGGTGGACCGAAATGCCTTGCTGCTGCTCTGTTTCCATGCACTTTGGCGTAGTTTAACACTCCTAGTTTATACTGAATTGTATAGCTTAATCTCTTGTTTCCTGTAGTCATATTTTCCAGGGTATTTTTTTAAAACAAATAGTTTTAAGCACCGATACCGTCATGTTTATACAGAGTAGCACCGATACCGACACGTTTATACAGAGTAGCACCGATACTGACACGTGTGTCGGCTGAGTCAAAGTCTATGCAAAGAAGGAAAGGCTCCATAGACATAATGTGACCGTCGAATCTGTCCGAACTTCGACATCAGCTTCAAGCTTTGGTGCTTTTTGGCGACAGATATTTCACGCATGTGCAAAATAATTATGGCAGATGTAGAAAAAGTTATGTGTGTCTAGAACTTTATCCGGTCTAAAAATAGCATTCAGTATTGAAAGTTAACCTGCATCCTTCACATATAAGATGCAGGTAACTTTTTTGAGACAAAATTTAGGAAAAAAAGTGCATCTTATATGCCATCAAATACGGTTATGTTCAATTATAATTACTTACATTTTTGTCAAAGATCTGATTTAGTGTGATATACCTCAAAATAAAGGGAGCCACAGTGCAGATAACAAATACCAAATCTCTTCTCCAATTCTTTTCATTTTACTTCAGTGAATACATATCCCACAATCTTGTGGGTCTTGGGATTTTTTCTGTAGGTAAAATCACATCTAAAAATGTCTTTCTGCTAGTCTTAGTGGAGCTGAGAAACATCCTAGTAAGATCTTTCTTTACCTTCATTCAGTCAAAGGATAATATCTAATCAAAATTGTAAATCTGTATCTTTATCACCATGTTTTTTACACTATCAATGAAGTCCTCCACAGAACTTTCACTGCTCCCAAACTCATTCATAGACATTTGATTCTGATGCCGAATCACAGTTCAAAGAAATTAGCTGCCATTCTGAATCAGACATGGGGGACAGACATTTTATGGGAAAAAATCAGTTTTAATTGCTTGTACATAAATATAGTTATCAAATTAACAGTAAAATATACATGCAGAAAGTTAAGCTCTGAAATATAAACATTTGTTAAGCCTTTAATATGGAAGAAGCATCCTTTTCAACCAATTGAAATAGAACAAAACAAACTTTACAAACTACCACTTTGTAGATGCCTACTGCCATCTCTATGATTAATTTGATATTAAAAGAAGAAAAGATTCAGGCAAAACAGTAAAAGCAATGGAGAAATGAGATAACCTGTACAGCACATGGCCAAATCAGTAGAAGTAAAAAAGCAGTGGTTAAAGATATAACACAGAGAATGACAGTCTGACTAATAAAATTTTGCAAGCACAAATAATTAGCAAAAAACTAAGCTGAAAAGTACAAAATACTGGAAAGCTAAATCATCTGCAGATGGAAATGTTACCAAGAATTATGTGTCTATGAATAATATTTTCTGTCAAATTAGTTTAACGATAACGTTGGTTGCCTCCTGTAATGCATTTAGGGCAACACTTTCAGTGATGACACAGCAAAGTCACTTATGAATTCAGACATTCCCAGTGAATCATTAAGCTTCAGGAATTTAGCCATTCAGCTTTAAAGAAAATAATTTTTATCATTATGTGATTTTTCTTCAACTTAGTTTAATGCTTTTTATATCCATTAAAATTTTAGTATTTTCACAATATACTTTCATACATTGTTGATTAACAGCACAACATTCTAATCGTAAAAATCAGGAGACCTTTTCAAGAAAACCAGGAGGATTTCATGCTGTGCTGTGGCACCACAACTGACATTTATTCACTTTATAATGCATGGTTCAGATTATTGAATATTTTCAATTCAGTTACGATGTAAAACACATTAGCATTTATGTTCTTTGGCTAAATTCATTTTTTTAATTTTCTTACCTTTTATACTAAGAAAATTCTCAGTACTGAAAGGAAGGCTTCTGTTTATCAAATGACTTTTAAACACAACAAAAAATAAAATTAATAATTAATGTACATAGTATTTGTGTGGATAACTCCGGAATAAATTGAAGTAAATAAAATTAAATACAAATAGTTAACTGATTAAACATTGCTTGAATCTTCATATAAAAATTTTTAAATGACTGCTGTATATTAATGTAATAAGGGAAAAAAATACAGTTAAGATAAAATGAAGTTTAATCAGCAAAATTATTCTGAAAATCATTACAAGAGGGGAAATAAAATTTTCTTAATTCAACTTCATTCACTGCTGGGAATTATTTTTCTTAATAAAGGCTAAATTTTAGAAACTGGAAGATATGGTGATCTACGGTAGATTGATAATGGGAGACTTGATGAAAACCAGAAGAACTGGCAGCTAAACAATAAAAAAAGAACTAATGTGAAGAATTATTTCAAGCATTCTTTATTATAGCTTTAAAAAATTATTGCACCTTTCTTGCCATCACAGTAAATTTTTCCTTCCCATTTTTGGAAAAGTTTCTATTCTATATTTCAGATATTAATGCAAAAGTGTATTCTTCTGACTTTTTTCTTTTTTAATTCTTATATTCCGTTTGTCTCTGTGAGTGTTTTACATTTAAAAACACATTATTAAATTGAGTTTAAACAAAAAAGTACAATTATTATACTAATTTGGTATTAACTTGAACTTCTGCAGATTCTTCTCGGGTGAAGAAGTTTAAATTGTTTTTCATGCATAATGAAGTATTTATACACATTTTTTGTATCAAATTACTTCTCAACTGAGAATTTAGAAATCTAATTCACATTTACGTTTATAATAGAGAACATATGACTCAGAAATTATTATTTATTTGTCATTGCTATTTCAGTTCTTTAAGATTGGTACACTGAAAGATGTTTTATTACTTCTAGAATATTAAGTTATTTAAAGAAGCGTAGTAGTTTTTCATTTTTCTTGTCGGAAATATATTATTAGTACTGCTCAGTTATTCTACTTGGATATATAAAAAGCAAGATTTAAAAGTACCAAAACTTTAAACATAAAACATATCCCTCTAACAAGAATGAGCTCAGAAATATAGTATAGACCAGTATTTCTCAACTGCCAGTCTGCGGACTAGCACCGGTCCACAAGAAATATCCAGCTATCTGTCCAAAAATTGTGCCAATTGGTCGAATTATTAATTACCGGTCCACAAGAACGTACCAAAATATTTTACCGGTCTTTGGAGTAAATCCAGTTGAGAAACACTGGTATAGACTGTAGACCAACTGAACTGAAATTCTACTCCTCACTGACAAAAGGGCTTATTCAGGGGGATTAATATCATTCTTGAGATGGATATGACATTCAGTGAATATAATTAAACCACAGAACCCTATATTAAATGACAAAATGAAAAGCTTATTCGGGGGGATTAATATCATTCTTGAAATAGTTATGACATTCAGTAAATATACATAAACCAGAGAACCCTAAATTAAATTTTCTAGTTAACAATTTGAAATTTTCAATTTTTTTAAACAGCAGCTTATATTTGTTTTCAGACATTTGTGCTTTCGAAATGTATTCCTGTTATTTCCTCCTGTTATGTCTTGCAAGATTTGCTTGATAATGGAGTAAAATAAAATACAATAAACTGTTTCAAAATATTTCTTAAAATAAAGTAATTTGTTCAAAAAAAAAAAAAAAAAAAAAAGATTGAAATGAATTCTAATGCTTAGAGCAGGCAACCAATGTTTAAGAAAAACATGCAAACATCTAATTTGATGTAATTTAGTTAACTTTGTGTTTTTCATAAACTTTGGCTTGGTTGGACTAATTTATTTATTTATTTTATTTTATTTTATTTTATTTTTGTAAATGTAGAAATTTTTGATATTTTGTTTCCATTTCACTGTAAAATTACTTTCATCATGCTTTGATACAGAAATATCACGTTTCCTTAATTTTTCTTCATACAAGTTCAACAAGGTTTAATCCCAAAGAATATGGTGTTTCGATAACTTTAAGTAAATCATACCAATAACTATAAGCAAATGTTAAGAACTATATGTTTAAAAATACTATCCTGATAGAAAAGTTATACTCCTGATACAAATGCAATTTGCATCTTAAGTTTTTAAGCATTTCAGGTTTTTATTCAAAATCTTTCCAGAGACTATTACTTTTATTTTGACTCTGACTTCAATGTTTTCATGTTTCATAGCAAAAAGCATGTTTACATAGCAAAATGACTTACAATAAGACAGATGATTTCTTTACCATTGCAAAAGAGCTAGTTCATTCATCAATAAATACACCTAATACTTTTCTAGATAGAATATTAAAGAATGATGTGTACATCAAATCTTTTGAAGACATGGCAAGGACTTAAACTTGAAAAAAATTTTATATGGCCTTAAGAAGTTACCACACTGCTGGATTGAAATATATGAAGGAACAAAATTTAAAAAGGCCAAAAAATGTTTTTTGTATATATACCATGAAAGATATATTTGTTATTACTTATGTTGATGATATTCTTGTTACTGGGAAAGAAAATGCTATTAATGCAGTAGTTAGTCCACTAAAAAAATTTAAGATAAAAAGATCTTGGAAAACTAAGCAATTAATTTAGGAATAAAAAAAAAACAGAGCTGTATACATGAAATAAAAATAAAGCAACATACAATAATAAAGAATACTTTACAAAAGTTTAGTGCACAGAATAGTCAAGAACCCAAAACATCTCTTAATTCCAATTTCATGGCAAATTCAACTGAAATTTATGATGAAAGCAAATATAATTTGTCATATCATGAACTAGTTGATAATTTCATGTTTATTTCATAAAAAAATCATCCAGATACTTCTGCTACTGCTGTTAACAGTGTCAATAAGGAAAGAAGCAAAAAAAAAAAAATTTTTTTTTGAGATATTAGAAAAAACTGTGGATTTTTCACTTCTGTACAGAATACGAGAACAAGGACTGGGAGCATCTTTATGGAAGATTGGGCTGGAAGAAAGAGTGTTTCGAGTATATAACATTCTACCATGAAATCCAGAACAGTGGTTTTAAAACCAATAGAACTGTGTTGCTATATCACCTTGTGAGGCACATTATATAGCTGCATTTGTAGCTTCAGCAAAAATAGTTTCCTTAGTTAAAATCAGAGATGATATTAGAGCACAATAAGCCTTTCTAAATGTAATTTAAATTTAGATAATCAGGATGCAATTCATTAAAAAAAGTTATGAAAATAATATAAGATGAAAGCATATTGATGTTAAATATCATTCTATCAAAGATTTGGTAGATAAAGAAGTAATTAAAGTGAATTATGTACCAACTTTAGAAAATGTTTCATTTTGACTAAGGCTAATAAATCTTTTGTAAAATTCATTAATTTAAAAACAATCTTAAATTTAAGAGTTCAATTTTTAAAGTTTGAAATATAATGCAGCTTTAATGATTAATGCTAAATTTTAAACTGACATTGGTGCAATGAAAGTGATTACTGTACTACTTCTACTGCTCTAACTTCAATTTTATGATGTTCCATCCATATATATTGTATCATCTTAAGTATATACTAAAATGTCATTCAGAAGAACACCAGACACTTCTGTTCTATATATGTAGCTATCTTTTACATTTTTATACAGATTCACAGTGTTCTCTGTAAACACTATCTTTCGCAAACCAGAAACAGCAAAACATCTTCAAACTATTATGCCTTCACCATTATGTTAAAAAGAGGCAAAGGGTTTTTTCTATTCAATTCTTTATCAGGCTTTGGCTGCTAAAATAATTCTTTAATTGGTTCAGTATAATTCTCCAATTATACTGAACTTTGATTCATCTGCAGATATCACATTATACATATATGATACACCCAAAACAAGCATGGATCTGTTTTTCCCTGCTGTTTATGAATTCCTTTCTCACCACTACTACATGACTCTTCTGCAGTTACAAGAACACCTTTCATTGCAAATCATTCTAATTCAACTACATTTTTCATAACACTAAGGCTTGGAATTTGCAGGATAAACTCCTTACTGTTTAGTCTAAAATTGTATTCCTGAATTTAAGGCCATTTTAACTGTTCCAACAAATATCCATGATTTTGTAACATAAAAGGCAGCTGAAAGTATTACTTTAATAATGACCTTTGTATACTTCTAGTATGTTAAGCAACATTAAATGTTATGTAATTAAATTTCTGATGCATATTACATTTGGTTTGCAGCATCCTGCCACAGTCACTTCAAACTTAAAATTTAAAAAATATATATATTTTCTTGAAAACTTAAATTTTCAGGCAGCAAATAATAAGTCTTATAATATAGTTCTGTTTGAAATTTTAAAAAATTAAATGAAAATTATTACCTTTAAAAATTTCAACAAAAATTGCAAGTACCTAAATCATAATGCTAGTTTATTTTAGCACTTCTTGAATGCATTATTTTGAGAAACAATTTGAACATATTATTTTTACAACAAACTGGTTTTGAAATAGATAAAAGACAAACATAGAAAGACATGTAGAACAATCTAAAATAATTTCTTTAATATCTACCAGATGTTTCTTCTTGGGGGGGGAGGGAAATAACACAAGTGTCTCAAAATAAATGTGAGCTACTTTATGTGTCATAGGGATCCAAATACAGAAATGTTTCCTAAATGGCTTGGTAGAGTCATTGGGCTATTTTGAAGCAGGAGTACATGAAGAATGAGCAAAGTCATCACCAGGACTCATACGAAGGCATGCAGATAGGAAGGAGAAAATATCTATTACCAACAACACCTTATTTAGGAAAGTAACTATGGAGCAAGTGCTAAATGAATGTTCATACAATCTAATGATCCTTTGGCAAGATACAGATCACCAAAATTAGTTAACAGAACTATAAATTTTTACCAATGACCTGATTTATTAATCCTTATCCTAAACTAAAATAATCACATTTTGGGGAAAGAGGATATAACTTTTACAAAATATTTTTGACATTCCTATAGGAAATACATAAATTATGTTTTGTAGAAATTAAAAAGTTGTAATACATGCAATAGATTAAAATTATGCATTTGCTACCACTTTATTCTGCATATTATTTAATAATTTACATCAACACACACATCATTTAAATAATTAATTTAAAAACATTTCTACAAATTCCAAAAAAGGAATAGGCTTCTAGGAATTGATTATATTTACTGTTCTTATTTAAATTTTATTTGATAAGAGATTAAACTAAACATTCATTTAAACACTTAAGATATAAATTTCTGTTGATTAATAGAAAAGCATGTTAAGTCAATTTTAAGATAAAAATGACACTAAAAATTTGAAATACTAAAATCATTACTTATTGGTGCTTTAAAAAATGCTAATCAACAAGAAATGTAAAATTTTTAGAAATTCTACAATTAATACTTTAGAATAAAAAACTAAAAAATGACAACTGACCATCAGGAGGAGCTCGAAGAGCCTCTAGCCTTCTCATTAAATCAGCATAACTATTTGCAGCAGGTGAAACTGGTTTTTTCATCTCTGGAGACACATTTTCTTCATCAGCAAGTAGTTCTTCCAATTCATTTTCAAATTCTGCAAGATCTTCATCATCGGGTGTAACAGGTTTTGATAAGGTTTTTTGTACCTCTGCACACTCATCTAAAACCTGATTGAAAAATTTAATAATTAAAACTATAATTTTTTTTCAATTTTCAAAGCTATAGTAAACAAATTTAATCATTTACAAATATAACAGAAGCAGAGAAAAATATTTGATTTTGTCAGTCAATTTAACAGATGCCTTTGTGGTAAATACTTCTGTGAAAAACAAACTCATATTTGCATTATACGTAAGAAAAGCTCCATACACCCAGCCTATTAAGCTTGAATTAAATGCAGGATGAATGTTCCATGGATACATGCATTTAGTCCTTGCTGGGGTAACATCTATCATGTAATGCTAACCTTAAACACTTACTTGACAAATCATGATGAATCAAAATGATAAGAATACATAAAGATTTGTTTAAAACTCTAGAGATACTTTATAGAAAGATTTCTTTTATCATACACTTTTTAACAGCAAAATGAATTTAGATTGAAATAAATTACAATTTATTAAGAGATACAATATATTATACAATTATTATGAAGAGCTACCAAAATAAATTATGAATCAAAAGAGATTATTTCTTAAATAGTTGAAAATCAGTGATTTATTAAAATGGTAATGTTCTACTTTTTATTAATTTAAAGGCATGTGTTCTAAAAAAAGAACCTTTAAAAAAAATATCCAATCAACTATTACTGCAAGACTTAAACAACTGCAAATTTTAAAAACTAATTTGCCCATTCAGAAAAAAAGAAAAAAAGTAGAAAACATAATTTATAATTTATATAGGCTATGCAAAAAAATATAATACAGTCAAAAGTCATTAATTCGGACACCCATAATCCGGAATGATCTATAATCCGGACCTCAAAGCTACAAACTTTCTGCGCATGTGTCGCGTTGACGCATGCGCATAGGCGTTTACGCGTGCGCGTAAGACCTTTACGGCTGCGAGTATGCGTGTGCGCATGTGCATAATACGTTTACACATGCACATTTAATGTATAACGGACGGTATAAGCTAAGCTAAAATTATCTATTTCAGTTAATGTTGCAGATTGTGTTGTTCCTTAATCTTCGAATTGGATCTGGCTTATTATTTTTTGCAGACTGTTAGAGCAGTTTTTTAAAAGTAAGCTTTATCTTTCAATTACGTCAAACAGAATTTCCGATATATATTTACTAATATGTAAAGGTTCTACAAAGCGAAAGTAAGTTTCGAAGTCCATTAAAGAGAAAGTGGAATTCCTGCAAAAAATGGATAAAGGCATATCTCCTTTGATTATCTAATCATTCCGAAATATGTTTATCAATTTCACACTGCTCTGCGGTGGGAGGGAAACGACGCAGCACGCAATGAATTGGAAGTTGATCTGTCAGCACTATCCTTGTCTTCAGGGCAGATGTTTCGATTTTATTTGGCTTATAATTCCTTACTAAATGTAGTATTTCATCTCAATGTACTCCGTCTTTGATATGATTTAAATCCAGTTCCTCGTCATTATAATTCGCTTCCGATAGTGAAGAAAGTGACACAGAGGTTATTGAAAACGAAAAAATTTCGATTGACAAATTAGTCGGCATTCTTGACACAGCGGAACTTTGTAACTAATCAAGAAATTATGTCTATTTAATAGAATTAAAGAGAAAGTATTATCACATGAAACGAAGCAACTTAAACAACTTACATTGAAAGAAATGTTTAATTAAGTAAACAAATAAATATTAAGCTTTTTCTTTTTGTAAATTTTGATACCCTTTAGATCATAATTGTACTTTATTTCATAAATTACGGTTTCATATTTTTAATTTTATAATTTCTGCATGCCATCTTACCAGATTTAAACTGATGATCTATAATCCGGAATCGCCGAAGTCCTGACGAGTCCGGATTAATGACTTTTGACTGTATTGTGTTTTTTTATGTTTCAGGTTTTATATTATGCCTAAAGGGCCCTTTTTTTAAACATTCTGTGTGTTACCTTTATTTATTAAATATTATGTTCTGATGTTGGTTTTATGGTATCACTGATACCAGAAAATTCAATTCAACAGCAACATCAGAAAATATTTAAAACAGCATATCTTAAGAATTTCTGACACACAGTCTTGCGCGCTAGAGATCAAAATGTTTTTTTCGTACAGTGTTGCCAGTGCTCGCTTCAAAATTGTTGAGTTTCTTAACCAAAAACTCATAAATGCTTTACAAAATATGAAATAAATAATAAAACAAAAATTCAGGCTGCCAGATGGCCATATTTGGGTGGAGACATACATTATTTAAAATTTGATGGCTCTAGGTACCATTGTTTTATCACAATGCGAGAAACATACATACATTTATGCAGATTCTTCATAATTTAATTTCTTTAAATATAATACAGGGGTCTAATATTTGGTGGCAACAATTTAAAAAGTAATTCGCCGTCTATAGAAAATCAATGCAAAATGCCAAAACAAAATTAATAGCCCTTCTGAGCAAATTGCCTATTACTATTAGTAATAATAATAATAAAGCAACCCTCCCCCCCCAAAAAAAAGAGAGGGGAAAAAATCAAACACTTATTTTTTTTTGCTGATTTATCATGCTAAGAATGCTCCATTACGCTTACAGTTTCTCTGAAGAGCCAAATTACATTAGAAATAGTTCATGAAATAGTATTCTTTGGGAATGGAAATTTTAAAGCATGGTTACTGCTTGCATAATAATTTTATTTATTTATTTAGCATACTTCTTTCAAGATATACAAATTTTATTTATCATATTTGCTGCCTCCCAAACATTACAAATGACACATCATACACAAAAAAAACTTACAACATTGATATTTTGGGTATTTTAATCTTACTTGATACCAATTAACGGCACAGAAAATAAGACATTATTTCATTTTGCCTAATTCCTTTTACATGCTTTCAGAAAAAAGTTATACAACATCAATTGCTTATTATAAACAAGACAACCTAAGATAATAAATGTTCAAAATAAACTTATTAAATGACTACTGTTTTCCATGTATATTTCTCATAATTTCTTTCAAAAATATATTTATTATATAAATGCCTTGTTTATTACTAGCAAGGCATTTATATAACTAGCATCTTCCATTTATCTTATTTTTATCATCTGAGTACATATTACATACAAAAACTAATAAATTTTTTATAATAAATAGAAATAATAGAGAACTTTATAACTGATAATAGTTGCCTATTTTGCTTCGTTACCAATTTAGAAAGACAGTGCAAACTTTCTAAATCAATAGCACATCTTTGGTTTCTTATTACTGAATTCCCATCTGTAGTTGCATGGCATTTTGGTTAAAATTTTAAGGCGGGCATAAGGTTTTAACCTTTAAAAGGCGAGTGGCGTAATAAACGGCCAGAGTTGCAGTGTCTCAAAAAAGATGGCTGTGGCTGAAATATCGGGCAGAGAATTCCCCTCCCATCATCCTTCAGGGTGTGGAGATAGTCATTGTCCGAATAACCTCCCTTGCCACTTATGCGAGATGACCTTCGCGCCTCCCAACTCTGGGGTTTCGTAAATTCCCTTTCGTTTCCCTCAGCAGTGAAATCTTAGCAATTTTACATTAGTATTAATTTCACCAACTTTTCAGTGTCATTAAAAATGCATTTTTTTCTTTATATTCCCATTTTTACTGTAATTTTTGTATTTAATATTGCTGTTTGAAACATGCAAAATGCAATGGAGTGCAATACAATGAAAATATAATCAATAAAATCTGTTTTTAAAGTAAAGGAAAATAATTTTTAAAAAATGGTAAAGGATAAAAAAAGCTTTTATCACAAAACTGCAAGAAAGAACATTGAACAATAGCGTAGTTGAAAGATGAAATAACTTACGATACAATGGGGGGGGGATCAATAAATTAAACTGAATAAGAATACTAATGAAAAAGGTAAACGAAACTAATATAAGAAAAATACAACAGATTTGTATGATATATAAATATAATCTGTTACACATTGCTTGGAAACAAATAAAAGCATACTGCCGATTTATACGAGAAACAAATAATTAAAGATCATTTTCGAGTATAAATTAAAAATACATGTAATTCTAAACTAAATTCAGTTTGGAAACAAATAAAAACTGAATAAGCTCTGAACTGATTATAGGCGTACATTTGGCGTATTTTCCTTATGACGCAATGTCAAAAGTTAATATTCCAACATACGACAATTATTTAGCTACAAAATCTCACCATAATATGTTTCCCTAGTTTAGGGAAAAGAAACAGCAGAAAAGAGGGAAAATTGAACAAATTCTTTTATATTATTCTTTAGTCTCTTATCTGAAAATTAACAAAGGCGACCTACAGGAAAAGTTGCAAAAGAGTAGTAGTTTCCCTTTACAATGGCAGCTAAAAGGGTGGGTGGTGGAAATGCATTTGGATTTTCCGTCTTTTTAAGTGAAACCTTTCCAAACTGCCCCGTCTCTTAAAGGTTAAAGAAAAACACAGTTAACAGAAAAACATTGTCTTGCTGATCATATACTGCATTGCCATAAATAAATTTTTTAAATGCATACAAAATGTTCACATATAAATTTAATTTCCTAATGGCAAATACTAACCTGTCCAATTTCATCCATAGCATCATCAATGGCATCTAAATTCAATTTCTGTCCCACAGCTTTCATTGCTTGCAAACCAGCTTGATATGCATCCAATACCTAAATAAGTAAATAAATAAATAAATATTTACATTTCTTATGAAAACAACAATTGATTTCAAAATTAAATGTTTAATATGTTCTAAAAATTAAAAAATATATAAATCTACTGAAAAAATTAAGATCTCCATTAAAGCTACAGTTCTATTTTCAATGTAGTCACTTGTATTGGGACAAATGTCATCAACATCCTTAGCTCAAATAATAATTCTCTAACAGGGATTTTTCATTTTGCACCACTATATGCAATCACAAAAATATAAGTTCTAGTTATTTTTTAGCACCAAAGATGCTGTTAGTCTTGATTTTTGGGGGGGGGTCTGTATCACTTATGCATCGAAATCATTTTTCAAATTGTTGCTACCAAATGTGATTTTGAAGTATTAGTCAAAAAACTTAATTAATTAATTAATAATGAGGAATCTGTATGTATGCTACTATGCGTAGAAAAACAATAGCACTTAGAGACACCTTTTCAATATATGCAGTCCTCCACTCAAACATAAGCACTTCAAAGCCCAAGTTTTGCATTTGTTTTTGACTTACTTCAAATTTTATACAAATTTAATGAATTTTTGTTCAACAAACTCAGCGATCTGAAAGCAAGCAGTGGCAACATTTTTCAAAATAAAACATTTTTATCTCCGGCACACTACAATGTTGCCATTAGACAAAATGTAGTCTTTTAATTCTAATCCACAAATTTGGCTATTTGAAAGCGATATGTTATCACCGCCTAAAATAGAATACTTACTATCACTACACACCAGCACGTTGCCATTCAATAAAGCGTAAGATATTTAATTTTCAAATTTAAATTTTCTGTTACTGATAAACCAAGTGACGGAAATGCAATGAATACAGTAATGATTTTGTAAAAATATATAATACAAATTTTTTAAAAATATTTTTCTGCTTTTTAATTAAATTGATTTAAATAAAAATGCATTTAAATCATAAACTGTCTAAGTAGAAATATTAAATATTTTTATGAAATGACACTAATTAGACTCATTCAAATCACTATATATTTTTTCCTTTGTTATGATAACTCTTTTAGGCAGCAGGCTGATCAAGCGGTTAATTTTCAAAAAAATATAGCAAATATATAAAAAAAAAAAAGTGTATGGCAATCCCTAACACTCCATCAGTAATTCTAGAGATATGTTATTTTCAAATATTTTGTCATTTTGCTCTTGAATTTTATGTGGCATAAGTGAAAAAATAATGCTTAATAATAAAGCTAAAAAGAACCAAAAAATGTGTTAGCAAAACTGAATCCAAGAGCAGATTGGTAACCTGCAGTGCTCAGTGAAACCATAAAAAATTTTCTGGTACAAAGCTTAAATCTAAATACTTTCAGATTTTCTTCTCTGTTTTGTATAGTATGCAATTTTTTCAGTTAAATTTGAGTTTTTTAACTTACGTTATTATTTCAACTTTTGATTCTTACTTTTGATGTCTTATTTCAAGGCATTTAAAAATTATCTATCTAAAAAAGTGTAAATGGTGTAATCAATCAGAATCAAAAAACCTTATGGGTACAGTAAACCAAACTAAGAATTTTAAATCATAAAGATAAGGCATTAAAATATGATATCTCCTACTAACATGTGATAAAAATTATATTTTCACTAGTAGTATGAATTAATCACATATCTTCATAGGAGTAAAATCAGGAGGTAACTAAAAATTACACATTCTTAGAAAAATGGCATTAAAGTCTTCAATATGAAATTAAGTGTGTAAGATCTACATATAAATATTAAGTTAAGAATCAAATTTTTAAGTCTTAAAATTGGTAAAGCTTTCAGCATCTAATAAAAATATATTCTCAATTACTTGTAAATAAGCAAAGAAGTAGGTTTATGAATAATTTTTAATGGGGTGTCAGAAAACAGCTAAAAGTACACACACACAGAAAAAACACTGAGCACTGGATTATGGCAAAGAACACTGGGGCTATCTGCCTACAAGGAGGTATGCTTTCGTGGAGGACTTTCTAATGAAAACTCACTTGTATAGACTTTACACATGGGGAAAACTATGAAAACGTCCATGGAGACATCTCGTTTGCCTCAAATGGAACCAGAGTTAAAACTACCAGTGTTCAGCGATTTTAGCGTTGCTGCTGGTGGGCCTCAAAATAGAAAAAGCTGTAGTTTCAAGATAAACTAAAAAATTATTTTCCATATGGACATTTATATATGAAATATAAAGCAGTAATAACTTTTACAGTATAATCTTTTACAAAATTTCATATGTGTTCAAATAATATAAATAATCCTGCAATACTTATTAATCTATTTTACAGAGCTAAGGATGCCGCTGAAACAGCTCTTTGACATTGCAGAATTTCCTAAATATTATACACTTTTTTGGGAGGAAGGGGATTATTTGATATAAATTTTAAAACAGCTTTTATCTTTTCAATTAGACCCCAATTTTAGGAGGGGTGGTAAAAGAAATTTGTTTCAGATCTGAAGAACTGCAATAAAGAAATTAAAAATAAACTTTTTCACTGAAAGATTTTAAAAGAGCATATTATTATTCACTTCATATTTTATCGAAACTGCTTCAATGATTAAAAATTATGTACATTTTTACATTTTTTTAATGGAGTTTCACACCTGCATAACACAATCACAGGAAAACCTCCACTAGTTTTTCTTTACTTCTGACAAGTATCTTTATTGATTTAAATAATTTGTTTACCACTATTAAAGCAATTTATAAATTGTGCCTTTATCAGAAAATCTGAACTTTTACATTACACTGCTTATGAAGTTGAAACTGGCAGTATTAAATGTGAATGAAGCTCATGTGCAAAAATAGTATTACTTTACAATGAAAAGACAGTACTAAAACAATATGTATGCCTGCTATCATTTTCAAGATTCTGCCAGATATTTCCACTTGCATAACTTCAAAATTTTTACTATTGTAAACACGCTTTTAAATTTGAATTTTCACATATCGGGAAAGCTGACTATTCTAAGTACTGCTTCCAATACCTCAAGTATCACTGCTCCAGTTCACAAAATATTGAGTAATAACAATTACTGAAACTAACGTAAAAGGGGGAAAGAAAAGAATTTTTACAAAAATGTTTTTGTAAATTTCTATACATTCTTCTACAGAATGCATTTTTCTTTACTTGAGCTTACAAGAAGTATAATATTTTAGTTGAATCAATTGCAAAAATTAAATTTCAGGTTCATTTAACTAATAAAAGTATCATAATTGCCAAAAGATATTAATGTTCATGCTGACAGAATTATAATAGAACTTATGATTCTAAAACTAACAAGAAAGCTCATACCTTTTTTTCAGATCCAGAATTTTGTAACTGGCAAAGAAAATGTTCTATATTATCTAATGCTGTAGTTTTCTTGTTAAGTACACTCTCTAACCGTTTTTTTCTCTTCAGAGCTACCATTGCCTAGAATTACATAAACGAATTCATTAACATTTTTACAAAACAATTTTATTATTTTTTTTAAATTTAAAAACATAAAAACATCTCAATAAAAATACACTAAATAATATTAATACTTCATTAGTAAACAGAACCGCTTTATGTTTTGCTTACTTTCGTTTTACATCCCGTTTTCATTAAATGCTTAACTTCTGCAGTACAGCTAAAAAAAAAAATATTGTCAATAAAACAACATGCCCAATATAATTTAAATATTATAACAAAGCACATACAGGAGCAAAAAAGAACTGACAACAATACTACAAATGTTTATGAACTTTGTAAATTATTAATTTAAAAAAAAATCTGAGAAACAAATTCCAAACTGCACTGAAATTTTGAGAAGAAATAAATGCTGTGTCAGTGACACAAGAAAACTCTGAGAATAGAATTATTCTAAAATATTTTTGTACTTTCTGACTATAATGCCACTTGATGCCAAACACATGTGTTAGTGTAAAATGTAACTGGAGACAAGAAATGGCAGCCTGAAAAATATATACAACTTCACAAATTATTTTTGTGAAGTTGTATATATTTTATGTTGGATTTAATAAAATAGCTATTATTTAGCTATTTTATTAAATCCAACATAAATATGAGAAAAAATACATAAGACAGAAATGCATTAATAAGAATGTGTGCAATTATTTCAAGCAATAGTTGCACAGTTTTAATTTTTAGTTGTAGTTGAGAAAATTTTACCAAGACACCAGAAGTAAATAAATAAAATAGTTATCTGAAAAAAAAAATGGTGTGAACCACTGAATCAACAGCCACTCTGTAAATCTTTTTTTTTTTTTTTTTCCTTGCAGCACAATGCTTTGATAGAAACACAGAAGTAAAATTCAGTTCCATTTTATGGTCTCTCGATATACATTTTACTACTGTCTTGGAAGAATTTAATCATGACTATTTGTGGAGGGGAGGGATTTAAAAGAATAAATATGGATTTCACAATTTTGTAATTTTTGTGTAATGAAGAGTCATTGTGTAATCCAAACATGCCAAATTGTGTAATCCATATTTATTCTTTTAAATCTCTCCCCAAAAAATTTAAAAAATCTTGAATGGAAAATTACTATATTGATATTCATCCTGCTTATTCGCAATTACATCACTACACAACTACTCATAAGGGGAAAGGAAAAAAATTATCGCATTTGGTACATTGGTGTACATTTTTACTTCAAGTCCCATTAACATAAATTACCAATATTTTTTCTTATTCAGCCAAAATATTAAGATTCATAAACTGATGAATATACATACATTTATGAAATTTCATGTACTTTCAAAACACTTCACAATGAATTATTTAGCATTAAAAAATTTACAACTTTTTATAAAAATATCTTAAAATAATTTTAAAAAGCTCCAGGATGAATTCAAATTTACTTTAACTGGAATTAGAAAATAGATAATAAATAAATAAAAATAATAAGTATGCAATCAAACAGATTAAGTATCAAATTCACCAGATTCACAATATCTTAAATTTACTTCAATTATAAAATTCATAAAAATTTCTGAATCTATTTTAGCATTTAAAAATGCAATAAATGAAACGTAATATGTTTTTCTAAATGTTTTAAGAAATTAAAATCTTTTAGAACAGACTTTCCAATAAAGAATTTTTGGTAATGATGTAATATGCAATGTATTGATTTAGTTATTAATTTTCATAGAACTATAAATTAACAATAATAATTTCATTATAAATAATCAAATTCAAAAAAGTTATTCATTTATTTTCATCTGGAATGAAAATGAGATATTTGACCATTCTTTTTCTTAAATGCATTTTGATATTGTTTCAATTAAAAGAAAAAAAAAAACTTTATTTTTAGTTTCCAATTCATAACAGTTTGTCTGAATTTAGTGGTAAAAGAAAATTAATTAATTTTGGCTCACAAAAAGTGACTTGTTCAAAAAACTTAACACACAAAGTTTTACTGTACAGAGATTAATTGTAATGAAAATAAAACAGATGAAACCTCACACAGTAAACAATTAGTTACAAAGAAAGAGATGAAAATGTACAAGTTATACACACAAAATAAATGGATGAAACTGGAATAAAATTACAATTAGATGAAAAAAAAGAGTTGTGCGGCTATTGTTTAAAACTAAATATCACCAGAAAAGCAGCCAAATAAAACTGACCATCGCTGGCGCTAAAGAAAATATGCCAAAATTAAAAATAATAATAATAATAATAAGGTGCCAAATATAATGGCTTTAATGGAAAAGTACCATAATCAGGTACATCGTAATATTATTATATACACATATTTTGTTTGCACACTACAACATTTAATGGATGCATTAAATGCCTAAACATTAAAAAATTATTTTAAAAAATTGCTTTAAGAAGACTAATCGGTTTTAACACTTTGATTTTTAAAATGAACAATTTCTTCCTATTAATGGGAAAAACATTACAATTTATATGATAAATTTATATAAACATATTTGATTTCAGTTTTAAGATGTTGATTATAAATACAGTCAAAAGTCGTTAATTCGGACGCCCATAATCCGGACCTCAAAGCTACAAACTTTCTGCGCATGCGTCGCGTTGACGTGTTGAGGCGTTTACGTGTGCGCGTAAGACCTTTACGGCTGCGAACATGCGTGTGCGCATGCGCATAAGACGTTTACGCATGCGCGTTTAATGTATAACGAACGGTATAAGCTAAACTAAAATTATCTATTTCAGTTAATATTGCAGATTGTGTTGTTCCTTAATCTTTTAATTAGATCCGGCTTATTATTTTTTGCAGACTGTTACAGAAATTTTATAAAAGTAAGCTTGAACTTTCGATTATGTCAAAAAGAATTTCCGATTCTGGAGGTGCCAAAGGATCTACAAAGCGAAAGCATGTTTTAATATCCATCAAACAAAAAGTGGAATTGCTGCAAAATATTGATTAAGACATATCCTTTGTTTTTCTAACCATTCCGATCTGTTTATCAATTTCACGCTGCTCTTGGGGGGGGGAGACTTCGCGGCACGCAATGAACTCGAAGTTGATCTGTCAGCACTATCCTTATCTTCAGAGCAGATGTTTTTATTTTATTTGGCTTTTAATTCCTTACTAGATGTAGTATTTCATCTCGATGTACTCTGTCTTTGATATGATTTAAATCAAGTTCCTAGTCATTATAATTCGCTTCCAATAGTGAAGAAAGTGACGCAGAGGTTATTGAAAACGAAAAAATTTCGATTGATAAATTAGTCGGTATATTCGAGTCAGCAATTATAGGACTTGAACAGCGTAACTTTGTAACTAAACAAGAAATTATGTCTGTTTAATAGAATTAAAGAGAAAGTATTATCACATAAAACAAAGCAACTTAAACAACTTACATTGAAAAAAATGTTTAATAAAGTAAACAAATAAATATTAAGCTTTTTCTTTTTGTAAATTTTGTAGATCATAATTGTTCTTTATTTCATAAATTACGGTTTCATATTTTTAATTTTATAACTTCTGCATGCCATCTTACCAGATTTAAACTGATGATCTATAATCCAGAAAAATCGATAATCCGGAATCGCTGAAGTCCCGACGAGTCCGGATTAACGACTTTTGACTGTAGTGTCAAATTTTCCCTAGCATTTTTTTTAATGAAAAATGCTAAAAATGGATTTTAATTTTGTTTCTTGTACTTTATCTCAGACTTTAATCTTGTTCATCTTATTACATCTCGATAATTAGTAAAGATTTTAGCACAAATTCTGTCATCATAATTAAAATTCAGGTGCTGTTCTAATCCTATGGCCAGACTAAGAACAACCTCATGAATCATCTGGAGTGAGTTAGCAGGCATGCCTGTTACTGGACATAGAAAATGAAATGTGATGACAGTAATTTTTTCCCCTCAGCTACATCCTGCTTTGATCAAGAATAGTCTGTGGAAATGAAAACTTAAACATCATATCCAACTTTTTATGAAGAGTCCGGGATCAAAAGATTTTAAATGGCCTATTTCACAAAGATACTAGAGTCAGAGGCAGCTATGCTTTATTCTAACTTTAAGCCCAAGCTTATCAATACAGCAGTTGGCTTCTGACAAACTCCATATAATTAGGGTAACATTAAAACAAGTGACAAAATTTTAAAAAAAAATAGTATATCTAAACTTAACTGGAAAGTTCTTTCAGATAATGAATTTGCCATATGATTTGCAAGAGGTGCACAAGAAAAAACAGAGTGGTTCAAAACTATATGGTCAAAAATGCAAAGGCAGGCAGAGAAGACCTAAGTAAGCAGATTTCATACAGGAATGTATGTGCAGTAATGCCGCGTGGAGCCGGTAGAGAGTGCTGATGAGTACGGCTTATAAAAGCGCTATGCTAGCTGGATTCATTTTCTGCATGGATCTCAAGCAGGATGCATTGTTACACCAATGTGGAGCTTGCCGACATGCATTTCATGTATGGGGCTGCACAAGGAAATGGATTAGCTGCTCAAAGAATGTACAGGAATGATTTGACAGGGAAGTCTTACCTGAACTTTTTGTTGATGTTCCTCCACCTGTTCGCAGACGAATGTGGTTCTAGCATGACAGAGCCTCAGCTCGCTTCAACGTCAGGAATCACCTGGACGCTGTCTATGGCCAGCACTGAATAGGATGGGTAGGGCAGTTTCCTGGCCACACCGCATTCTCCTGATTTAGCCTGCTTGGATTTCTTCTTTTGGGCCATATTAAAGACCTTGTGTACAGGAGTCTCACATCTGCAGAAGATCTTGTTGCCCGCTGATCTGTTGCTGCTGGACATATTCTCGACATGCCTGACGTCTTTTCTAATGTAAGCCGATTCATGCGCCGCAACTGTTAATCATGTATCGCTGTTGGTGGCTACTCTTTCAAGCACCTATTGCAAACTGTTAATATTTTTTTTTTTTTTCCCTCTTTACTTGTCTTTTCAGTTTTCTGTGAATTATACTGCTTTACATGCTAGCGCTTTAATGTGACATTAAATCTCACACATTCCTATACAAAACTGGCTTATCCAGGTTCCCTCTACCTGCCTTTACATTTTTTACATATAGTTTTGAACCACCCTGTATAAAAAAAATTAACCATATTTCATATATTACTATACTAAAGTACTAAAGAAGTTTTAGTTACTGTATAAATTCACCAAATAAAAGTACAAAAATTATCATTATTCATATTACCCTAAAATATCTTGCTCGAGTTTATCAATTTCTTCCAATAGTGAATTTCTTGTTGCACGGAGACTGGAAGTAAAACAAAATTGTGAATAAAATTACAATTTGAATTAGAAGAACAAAATTGCAATGTAATAATTAAATTGATCAACAATTTCAGCCATGTATTTAAAACAGTTATATGAAACACCTTAAATTCATAACTGCTCTGTTTACACACACTTACATATCTTAAGGAACATTCTTATAGTCTCATTTTAAACCAAACTTTAAAAAGAGGATTACTTGTATATGTAAGGCAAAACTTCAAATATATGTTAACAATTATATATATATTTTTTTTTTTTTTCAGAAAACAAACTAATTTGAGTAAATAATTTTAATTTTTGATTAAAAAAATATCATTTTGAAAATTTTATACTTTTTTAAAAAGATTTTTATTAGAACAATGTTTTATACTTAAAATAAAAATCATATTAATAAGATAAATAAGTTAAAAAAGACAACACAAATTTAAAACAAACTGGTTATTTTTGTCTTCAAACTTTCAATGATTAGCAACTATAAACAACTATTAACAACCTTTTTTGCTTAATAATAAATGGTTTTGAAAGCAATAAATCTAAATATATTTTAAGACATGTTATTCCTTGAAATAACCAATTTCAATTATTTTTTTTTTTCTCAAACATTTTTAGGAATTTCAGATTTCTTCTAAAGATGTCCAAGTAAATCAAAGCCTTAATTTTAGTGCACAGAATATGCAGATTAATAATATTCCAATAAAAAAAAACGTTAAAAACTAAAAAGCAAAACTTACAGATACACTTTGCAATAAAAACATCATGAAAACATTTCTGCAACATTATTTAAAAAATTCGAAGGTAATTATTTTAAAAAATTAATAAACCTCAGAAAAACATTTGATGCAAAAAGGAATTAAACAAAATAAACACTGCATATGGTAGGGAAATTTACATCACACAAAATAAAGCATATACAAAGATAACCATACTGAAAATAAAAATGCTTTAATGAAAGAAATCATTTTAAGAAATTCTGGAATTATTTCACAATTGAAATTTTAGAAATTAAGAATTTTAATCCAAATTAATCCTCTAATGCCTCCTACAAAAAGGCTTCCCTCTATATCTCCTATAAAAATATACACTAATACTAATATTGAAGAAGGAAAATTTACTTTAATATTCCTCGTGCAACTGCAGAGAGATTTTGAACCTGCTCATCTTTCACTCTTCGAAATCTGATAACCTAGATAAAACAGTTCTTTCATATAGATCTCTCAATATTTTATGTTAACTAAGAAAGTAAAGGACATATTAAAACACATTTACTACAATTTTTTAAAAGAAAAAAAAAGCAACTGCTATTCAAAATACGTAGCGTATTCGGAAACTAAGTACCGTTTCATACTAGCGCCGTCGCAGCGCTGTGGTAGGCGTCCCGCGCATGCGAACTAGTCTTTCTTGTTCACTGGCTTTCAATTGTTGCCATTTTGGTTGCTCTATGTTGTGTTTTCAGTTTGCTGTGCACATTCAAAATGTTTAAGACTATTAGTTTTCCCCGCTGACTGTGAGATTCGTGCCGTGATTAAATTTTTGAACGCGAGGAATGTTAAAACGGCCGAAATTTATCATCAAGTGACAGAAGTTTACGCGATAAGTGACGGAATGGTGAGAAAGTGGGTAAGAATGTTTAATGCAGGTCGAATAAATGTCCCCGCCGAGGCTCGAAGTGGTCGGCCTTCTGTTGTCACCGATAATTTGGTAAGGAAAGTTGATGAAGCAGTTCATGAGAAGAGACACTTCACAATGACAACTCTTTCAGAGGCATTCCACAAATTTCACATACTGTTTTGTTCGAAATTGTGTCTGACCGCTTGAATTATCGCAAACTGTGTTCCCGATGGGTTCCAAAAATGCTCACTGATGTTCACAAAACAAAGCGACTTGATAGTTTAATTAGCTTAAATGAAATTCTGAGCATTTAGTATTCCTTCAGTGAATTGCTCAATTTTTTATAAGCAAGCTATACAACAGAAAATTGTAAAATAAAAATACCACAAATTAATAGTAGAATAAACATAACAAAATCTTTTGGTTAGAGTTGACTTTAAGGTACCCCTAGTATTATCGAGAAGCTGTTGTTTCATTTATCGCCAAGTTGTTGTTTCATTTATTGCCAAATTGTTGTATCATTTATGGTAACCTGAATAGTTGAATGTTATGGAAACCCTATTATGACATTATCGTTTGCATTATTCTGGGAAATTTCCATTTTTGATTCCATTTTTGGAGAATTTATCGCATGCGCCGGCAAAATGGAAAAGTGCCATATAATGTTATCAAATAGTATTCCAGATACTATAAAACTGAATACAGTTTACTCTGGTGTATACACTCATACAAGAAAACCAGAATATTCTAGAGATCCCCTTTGAAACTAACAAGTTTAATTAGCTTAAATGAAATTCTGAGCATTTAGTATTCCTTCAGTGAATTGCTCAATTTTTTATAAGCAAGCTATACAACAGAAAATTGTAAAATAAAAATACCACGAATTAATAGTAGAATAAACATAACAAAATCTTTTGGTTAGAGTTGACTTTAAGGTACCCCTAGTATTATCGAGAAGCTGTTGTTTCATTTATCGCCAAGTTGTTGTTTCATTTATTGCCAAATTGTTGTATCATTTATGGTAACCTGAATAGTTGAATGTTATGGAAACCCTATTATGACATTATCGTTTGCATTATTCTGGGAAATTTTGAATCATGGTATGTTTTGCAAGGGCTTTAGTGGTGTGTGTTGCTTAGGAAGTACATTGCTTGTTTCATTGTTTAGATGGTACAATGGCTGAATGTAGTAGGATTAATTTGAAGTTTCTGTACGATTAGGAACGAAAGGGGAAAAGTACATTAATTGACTGGTGTGTAAATGAAGGTTTACATAGTATCCATAGTCGGGAACTACATAGTATATTTTTTACTCTTATTTTTGTGAATTTCTGTGGTGACAGCGTTATACGGATTGTAGTTCAGATAATTTTATAATGCTGTTAAGGAATTTTCGTGGACCAGACTGAAGACGAACGAATTTCTAAGTAAGGTAAGGAGATATTTGCTTTGTGTAGTGCTAAAATACATAACAGGTTTTTCCTTTTTTGTGTTATTTTATTGTTTAGTTTAAAATGTAGTTTATTGAGATTATGTATTGTTTGATTGCCTCTACTGTAGACTTGGGTGTTCCTTGACTTTTTAGGTGAAAATATATCGATGTGTACTTGGGCAATATCAAGGGAGTGCAAAAAGCATAGTTTGTGCAATTATCTGATGACAATTCAAAGAATTGCACAAACTCGGTATCCATGTGCTGCCAAAAATCGCCAAGGGGTACCCTAAAATATACGTTTACCAATCTTTTAAATAATAATTAAATACTAAAAATGTGCATAACTGGACATAAAGAAATTTAGTATGCAGCCAATAATAAAATATTACTGATCAAAAGTCTTTAATACGGACTCGTCGGGACTTTGGCGATTCTGGATTATCGGTTTTTCCAGACTATAGATCATCAGTTTAAATCTGGTAAGATGGCGTACAGAAATTATAAATTTAAAATATGAAACCATAAATTATGAAATAAAGAGCAATTATGATCTAAAGGGTATCAAAATTTACAAAAAAAAAAGCTTTATATTTATGTGTTTATTTTATTAAACATTTCTTTCAATGCGCGCATGCCTAAAGCATACATTACGCATAGTCGAAATTAGAAAATTGCAACAAGGAAACGATTTGATGAGTATTTGTGATATTTATAATGAGGAGGAATTTGATTTAAATCATATCAAATACAGAGTACATTGAGATGAAATACTACATTTAGTAAGGAATTATAAGCCGAATAAAATCAAATCATCTGCCCTGAAGATAAAAAAGTTGACAGATCAACTTCCAGTTCATTGCGTGCCGCATCGTCCCCCCCCCCCCCCACAGAGCAGTGTGAAATTGATAAGCATACTTTGGAATGATTAGAGAATCAAAGGATATGTCTTTATCCATTTTTTTTGCTGCAATTTCACTTTTTGTTTGATGGACATCGAAACATGCTTTCGCTTTGTAGATCCTTTGGTAACTCCAGAATTGGAAATTCTTTTTGACATAATCGAAAGTTCAAGCTTACTTTTATAAAATTGCTCTAACAGTCTGCAAAAAAAAATAAGTCGGATCCAATTAGAAGATTAAGAACAATGCAATCTGCAACATTAACTGAAATAGATAATTAGATAATTTTAGCTTACCTTATACCGTCCATCATACATTAAACACGCATGCGTAAACGTATTATGCGCATGTGTTAACGCATTATGTGTTGATGCATGCGCAGAGTTTGTAGCTTTGAGGTCCAGATTATAGATCATTCCGGATTAAAGACTTTTGACTGTATTTATCAGAAATTTATCAGAAAAGCCACATGAAATAAAATCACAATATGTCTCACCTTTTTACCACATTCCTCGAAGACAGAAGCATTCTTATCTTTTTGTAACTGTATCACAGCAAGCTGAAAATTTGTTCCAGTGCAAATATCTTTACATTCTTCTTCAAAATTACTGAGGAACATGATATCATCCATTGAATCTGATTCTGAATCAGTTATTTCACAATGGTGTCTGTAAATTCTGGATGCCAAGTCCTGAAAATAATAAAATATTAATAAAAACATTTCAGGCTTAAAGCTCATCATAGGCATAAAACAATTTTAAACACAGTTATTTCAATAATTCAAAGTGCATACTTATCCTAAAAATTAAAATATATAAAAACAAAGAAATGCACATTCAGATGGGATACAGGAGAGAAGCTGAGGGCAATCCTGTACTTTGACCCCTCTCCTGATATTTTTGTCACAATTTATTATGGCAAAATAATAACAAGCACGGGGAGGACCAGTGCTATACTTTTTGCTGACAGGTGCAATCTCAGCAGCTCCTAAATTCTATTCCCTAAAGTGCATCCCTAATTTTAAAAAAAATTTCCATCTGGTGGAGTTACACCAGCTCTGGTGCCAGCTGTAATTGCAGGTTGTGTTTATCAAATGAACTGCAAGTAACAGGAAGCTAAACATAAAAAAAAAAAAAAAAAAAAAAAAGAAAAAAAGAAAGAAATTTTAAATATTTGAAATGAGAGTTGCATTCCGTATAGATCACATTAATCCAGCAACCAAACTTAAAATAAATCAAACAATACTGTTAATCATTACAACTCCGATTTATAAAACAAAAGTTACAATTTACTTGTTATGAATATTGTTGATTATTCAAAGTAGAAAATAAATTGATATTTGAAAATACAGGTTTTAGAAAATATTGATCTTACTTTACTGTATTCATTTCTAAACTTATTACATTAAATATTGTTTTTCACATTGAAAAGAAGATACTGTAGATGTAAGAAACAAAGCATGATGAACACTATTATTCCATCACAGTCCTCACTTATGAACTACAGAGAGTAATTAGCTGCAGATAATTAAAAAATATTACAGTATACGTATTTCATATTATATATATATATGTACAGATACAATTAAAATATTGAAATATAATTCTAGGTCATACACATAAAACTTACTTTAACAACAGGTAAAACTACTAGATGTTCATCTTTTTTGTCCCACTTGAGAAGATTCTGAACAGTCGAGAATCCCCATGATACAGGTTTTTGAACAAGAACATCATATCCCCAGCCAAGCCAACCTTTTTCATTTTCAATTCTACTAAATTCACTCATATTAACTACGAAGCTTTGGCTATAGAGGAGAAAAAGAATGTCTAAATTTTAAATTATTGGAGGTACATACATGTTATTTGATAAAAGCAGCATTTTTGAATTTCTAAACATAAACAGGATTTTGAAGAAATTCAATTTATCAATATGTATTATTCTCTTTTATATTTTTAGAAGAAAATAATCCTATCGCAAAATTAAATATTCATTACAAATTTTGGTTAATCTTTGGATTATGGTAACTTGGCGATTTTTTGGCGACCAACCCCGCTACAGCAACCTGCTAGTTTTGTTTTGGATGCCATTATGTTTTCACGAAGTAACGGCATTTTTTTTTTTTTTTTTTTTTACTCAACATTTTTTTCCAACAATCTGCTAGCTAAATTACACTTATGCTAGAACTTTTATGGAACAAAAGTGCTTAATCAAGACGAAGATGAGGTGCGAAATTGGGAGAAAGTGCAGAATCGCCCACTGTTTGTCGCGTTTTTTAAATTCCACATACACGGTATCATCCATGTACACGTCGACCTATTTTCGCTATAAAAAAAAAAATCCCAGAATTGCACAAAAATGGCATTGCACACACACTCTTGACTTTATCCATGTACACTGCTAAAGTCCTAGCTAGTAACCTTTATCGCCTTATCAAAATGTCGCCAAACTACTTGTTACCATATTCCAAAGATTAGCCCAAATTTTAATGACAACTATATAAAACTGTACTACAGAAATAACATTGTCACCAACTTTTAAATCCCCAAAGAATATATATATGCTATTAAAAATTAAAAAATGCTTAGCTTCTAGTATAAGCTGTTGTATTTCCTCTGTTTATTAAGAATATGTATTTATAGGATATTATATGTATTTATTCATGAAAATCAGCAGTTTTTTAGAAGCTATGTAAGCTCTAAAAACAGTAATATTATCCCCAAGAAAGCATGCAATATTACTGGGACCAAGTAAACAAAATAATGTACTGAAGGCTTCAGACATATTAACCACAGATGTTTTACTCTATACATTATCATAATTAGCATTATTCTTACATTATATCATGTTAGTTTCTTAGGTTATGTTTATGAGAAGAATAGTGTAAAAGAAATGTTTCCAAAGTTCTAGGAATTTAGGTTAATTTTTTTATTTCATTATTTTTACAATGTAGTTTATCAACATAATTTCCACGTAACTGAATACATTTATTTACACAAAAAAACGTTTTAAGCCAACCTCAGAGAACTTTCTAATACACCCATTTATGGAAAGGTTAAACTCTCAAATAAAACATCAGTTTTTCAAATGTGGGAACAGAATACTTCTCACAGAATGAACAATTCCCAAAGTTTTTTACATCCTCTTTTCACAAAAAGAAAATGACTGCTCTTTGCATTTTCCATAGTTGCAAAAACAGTATTACAAAAATACATCTGTATCAAACAACTTAGTCAGACAAAACAACACTGCAAGGGATATCTGCATAAAGATGTTGACTTTTTTTTTACCAACAATGTTGCTTATAAGTTCTATGAATTGAACTAGAGCTCCATTTCCTACAACTCTGGAAACATTCTATGTATGCAAATGTAATGACATAACAAAAAATATCCATAAAAGATTGTACTATTTTGGCTGTATTTTTTCTCTTACCTCACCTTGCAGAATACAGCTTTAGCTGTCTAAATTATTACCAAAATCTTATACTTGATTTGATATTGCAGATATTCAACTATTTTTAAAATCTTGAATATTAAACAACACATTAGAATATTATATACATATTAGGTATTAAATAAATCTTATAAATCAGCTTTAGGCAAAGCAGCTGAAATGATTAAATCAATAACATTTCCCCTTCCCCCCAATAATGTTTTGACTTTAATGCATATAATGAAACATTATTGCTGTTATATGCATAATAGCTTATGATATTAGTATATATAAAGGATGTGTAATTAGATTATCTAAAAAACTCCAGCATTCTACTTAGAAACAAGACATAGCATGGAAAATATTTCCCAATAACATCCAGAGTCACCCAAACATAATATTTCATAACATCAAATGTCATATACAGTAATGGTACAATATAAAATATAATACTGCTCCATTATTATTCCTAATAAAACCCAAAAAATATTTTATTTTAAAAATGCTATTCATATGCATTATAAAATGCTTTGTTGCCTTAAATTTCGATAATAGGCTACTGAAATAAATTAGGACATATATACAAATAAATGAAGTTATTAATGCGACACATAAAATTTAAATTTGCACAAACTAGATTTATACCTGGCCATATGCTCGAGAACCATATCCAAACACATTGGAAATCTGCCTTTTCTCTCGAAAGATGAGCAAAGTATATTTTTGTTAATCAGTGGACTATTAATCTTCTTGCAAATATCTAGAATGAGAGTAATCCAAAATTTCATTTTGGCATCCCAACCCTCAGGGTTTACAGTTCGCTCACGAAATGTACTAAATAAAAAATTCATACGAACATCATCTTCCCAATCTCGGGGCAAATCACATTCATTGAAATTTAACTTCAGCGCCATAATTAAAAATAAGAGATTATTTAGCAAAAACTCGGGGAGGGAAAAACAGCTTAAAGACAAATATATTAATAGAGAGCAAATTTTACGGAATTTTGATAAATAAACAATTCAGAGTTTTCAGACGTTACAACATTCTAACAATTACAAGCTTCAAATAGCAAATCCTTACAACACATTGCAGCCATTGTTTACATTTTTTGCGAGTATACTCACTGTTTCCACTTCGCTTTTAAAAAATAATGAATATTAACGTTTAGCAATTCTGTCACTAGGTGACGCACAGTGATCAAGGAGGTTAGGACAAGGCCAACTAGATATCTAAGGCTACTATAAAGGGGAGCTGAATCATCATCCATTTTGAAGCTAACTTGTTGGTATTCGCTATTGGATTAGCACTGATTTCTTGACATATTTGTGGATCGATTCCGACCTAATTTTCAGAAAAATGGGTGGTTGTGCTGCACCAAATTGTTCGAATCAGTCTAAAAATAACTTTAGGATGTTTCGTTTCCCTAGAAATGAAGAAAGACGAAGAAAATGGATAGTTAATTCTCGTCGAGATCAATGGATCCCCGGGCCCAGGAGCGTATCTTTGTGAGGTAAGTTCAGCTTCGTATTTTTCCATAGAATGTTAGAAAAATTACTCTTCTTGGTACTTTAAAATATTTATTTTCATTTAACTGTCACTTATTGACCGATCAACTGATTTTATAAGTACAAAATCAACTGCGGAATGTGTATGTGTTTGTGCAGTAAAAATATCGTTGTTTCATGTTGTTTCTTTTTGTTATCGTGAAAAGTTTATACCGTTTGTAAAATTTGTATCATACATTTCATGTAAACTTTGTGCTCAGTTAGAAATGTGATGTGCCTTTTTTTTCTTTCTTTAATTTTACTGTACGATTGGTGATTTAAAGTAGCATTCTATGTTTTGATTCTTATGATGTATTGTCGCCAAATCGGATAGTTGGCGCCAATGTTAAAAACTGGATGGTATGATCCAATAATAAATGATTTTTTTTTGTTTTTTCTTTATAGTAAGATAATATATATTCTGTATTTTTAGACATTTTTAAGAAGTTAAAATATTAATTTAAATATTCGATGAATCGTTTTGATCCCATTATTATCCTTTTATGTAGTAGTAAATCTTAATGTTGTATTTTTAACTATAGGTACTTTAAATTTATTTTTAGTGTGTGAGCAGGAAATATGTTTTAAGTAGTTTTTACAAACATGATTACTTTTTAAAAATTTTGTTCTATTTTCATAAAAAAATTTTAATTTATCAGAAAATTACATTCTTAAATTATTATAATATATGTAACTGTAATTTAATACTAGTGCTTTTGATTTTAATGTTAAATTTCATGCATGCTTTTGTTAAATATGCAGGTACATTTTGAAGAAAATCAATTTGAATGCTCTAGGCAAGATGGGCGTAAAAAACTCAAGCCCAATGCTGTGCCAACTCTTTTCAATGTGCCTAATCCCCCACAACTGTTGACCCCACAGCGTCTAAAAGGCATTGGTTTACCAAAGCACCGTTAAGTTACATCCAATTTTTGTAATGTATGTGTTTTTTATTTTTATGGTTTTTCATAAAAAAAATATGTTTTTATTACAAATGGACTAAATTGCTTTATAAAAGAATCAAAATATTGAAATTAAGGCATTATGTGATAAAGCTGTAATTACAGTCCCTAAGATTAGATTAAAAAATTAAAATTTTGCTGTTGTTATATATATAATTAAGTATGTACTTTGTTATTATAATCATATATTGAAAATTAAGCATAAAACCTCAATTTGATGTAGTTTTTTTGGATAAAGTTTTTGTAGTTTTTCGAGGACGGTCATACATGGGTCTGGTTTCTTCAAATTTGCTCCTAAAAGAAAGAAACCGGTATCTGATTGCCTTCAAAGTCAAAAAAATTTAAATCAAAATTTGTATTAAACTAAAGTTGCTTTTTTGCTTAATTTTAAATTCCAGATAAATAGAGAGAAATATGTATGGAGTAAGTAAAAGAAATAATATTGAAATTAATAACTTTAATCTTTAGTAATACAATAATATAGTTATAATATATTGATTTAAATGTATATTTTAATGTCTTATATGTCTTGTCTGAATGTTGTTATTTTTTGTTTAAAGATTTACAAAACTTATTAGGATTATTTATATTATTTATTATTAAAATTACATTAAGTATATTTTTTATTTATCAGCATTTTCAGGTATCCTTACTTATATGTGTTTTCATAATTTTTTGCATCTTCAGGGTGGCTTGCTGCACACGGTTTACCTTTATCAACTGAAGCGATTTCTGTTGCTGAACCATCTGTTGTAAGTCTTCATTTGAACAGTTATTAAATATTTAGTATTATAAACTTTTTTCTAAAAAGTATTAACACTGTTTCTAAAATTTAAAAATATATTAACGTAATATTTACTTATGTTTAAGAAGTATGAATGCTATGAACAGTCCAATGTATTTATGCTTTTTTATAAGTTGAGTTACTTTGAAAATGGTAATGATTATTTGTATTTTATTTTTATTTTTATCCGATCAGAGTTTATAATTTCTTTCACTTCCACATATTTCATATATTATAATTTCTTTTAGGTTCATTTGCCACAACCTTCAGCTTCATATTTTGGAGAAATAAATTTTGCTGCCGAAGTATCTGATGTAAATTGCCATTTTGCACTTCTAAAAAAATTTAATAGTTTTTTAACATCTATTCGTAAACTGTACTATGTTTTTTTTAAATGTTTCCATCTTCATAATCATGCACTTTATTTCATTTCACCAGTGGTTGCAAATGTGTACATTACAGTACATCTCAGGTGTGTTTGCAACAACATTTAGCATTACCTTCTGATTAAATAACAGCTGCTAGTAAAGAATCTATTCTATGTTTTCATTTGAGCAGCTATTAAATGTCATATGTTTTACATATATTAATGAATTTTTATACGATTTCTGAAATATGAAATTGTTTGTCTTATGGTTGCTAAACAGCTGTACTATATCTGGCTGTTGTGCTATGGAATTATTTTTGAATTTTGAGTGTTAACAATTTATTATCTATTTATGAATTATAAAATGTTATGTAAAATAATTATTTCTTAAAATGAATGTAGTTTATATTATCTGTATTTCTAAATTTCTTATATATATATTTCAGGTTTGTTTGCAAGAACAAGCTTCAACTTCATCTTGTGATAAAATGCCATCTATTTGTGAAGGATCTCATGTAAGATAATTAGTGTATTATTAAATTGCTTGCTTATACAAAACGTTTCTATTAACTTTTTTTTTTTTTGGGGGGGGTAAAAGGAATGTAATTAATTTCATCAGCATTTACAAATTCTTTGTGTACATTTCAGGTTTGTTTGCAAGAACAGCCTTTAGCCTCATTTTGCAATGAAATACCATCTATTTGTGAAGGCTCTGATGTAAGTTGATAACTAATGTATAATTAAATTACTTCCTTATATGCATTTAAAATGTTCTATAAGTAATTTTTTGGTAAAAGGAATGTAATTAATTTCATCAATAGTTGCAAATTCTCTATGTAAATTTCAGTTTTTGTTTGCAAAAACAACCTTTAGATTCATCTTGCAACCAAATTGTAATTAATTTTAATTAATTTTCATCAGCATTTGTGAAGGCTGTGATATAAGTTGATAATTTGTGTTATTAAATTGCTCATGATTATGGAGATAATCGATCCCTTGAAAAGCTGGAAATAAATTTTAAATTTTAAAAATCTATTTTTAAGTGAAATAAATTTTAAATATTAGAAAATAAAACAAAAATAATCTAGAAAATGCTGAAAACAATAGAGTCAAATTTAAAAACCCACCACAGTATAGGAAAAGAGACCTGGAACTTGCATTTTTATTTTGTGGATTTATTATCTGTTTAAGTTTGACATTTAATCCAAAGGGGCTTTGTCCCTGAAGGACTATTGTTTTCGTTTTGTATTGAAACACTATAAACGGCTGCATCACTTTTCAAATTGTTGCCACCAAATATTATCACCCTGTACTATATTTAAAGAAATTATATAGTGAAGATCTGCATAAATGCATGTATGTTTTTTGCATTCTGATAAAAAAACAACGGTACCTAGAGCCATCAAATTTTGAATGACTTAATTCTACTGTGAATATGGACATCTGGAAGACCGAATTTGAAATTCGGAATTTGTTTTAATATATATTTTTATATGTTGTAAAACTTTAACGAATTTTTGATTAACAAACTTGAGGATTTCAAAGCGAGCAATGGCAATGTTGTACAGAAAAGACACTTTTATCTCCAGCGTGTGAGACAATGAATCGGGAATTCTGAAGATATGTTCATTTTAAAATTATCTTGCAATATTGCTGTTGAACTGAATTTTATAGTTTAAGTGTGAAAAACTTGATATTTAATAAATAAAGGTAAAACACAAAATGTTAAAAAAAGGCCCCTTTGGGTGTAATTTAAAATCTGAAACCTTTCAGATCTTTTTTTGTTTGTTTGTTGTGTCCCCCCCCCCTTCTTTGATGATTATTCATATAGATTTTTTCTTTATTCCAGGATGTTCTTTTAAGGAATTTTATAAAACAGCAGACTGAATTGATCTCGCTTCTGCAATGCCAGAACAAAATATTACTGAAAGAACTTACAACAGCAACCAAAAAAAAATGAAATTAATGTTTTAAAAAAATGGCATAGCACTGAAATTCAACTTCATGACCTTCAAGTACAGCATGAGGAATTGCTGAAAGGAGTGAAAACATTTCTTTCAGATGAACAAATAGCAATGTTGAAAATTCCTCGTAGAAGCATTGCAAAATGGTCTAACGAGGGAATAATAAAAGGCCTCAAAGTTAGATTTGCCTTGGGCAAGCATGGTTATAATTACTTGCACAGAATAGGTTTTCCGTGCCTTCATACAGCACTTTAAATAAAAGACTTCAAGGTCTTGAAATGAATTTTGGAGTCATCAGTGAGATGATTGAACCTTTGAAAATTAAAGGAGAAAAAATGAATGCTAGTGATAAAGACTGTATTTTATCATTGGATGAAATGGAGATTTCTGGCAATCCTGATTTTGATATTTCAAAACGTAAATTTATTGGTAAATGTACATTAGGAAATCAAAAGGGTGCAGGAAAATCACTATTTAGTTATTTTACTAAGAGGTTTGAAGCTGAAATGGAAGCAAGTGGTTGCCCATGAGATAACTGGACAGGTAACAGGATGCCAGCTCAAACAACTTGTTGTCAATGTTATCGAAGCTGTCAATTCTGTTGGATTTAATGTTGTTGGTATTGTTAGCGATATGGCAGCAGTAAATAGAAGCCTGTGGAATTCTTTGGGAATATCTGTTTCTCGAAACCAAAGAAATAATTTCACTACTGAAATTAAGGGCAAAATTATTTATGTATTTGCAGATGTGCCACATCTTTTAAAAAATCTCTGGTCTGCAACTCTTAATCATAGTATAAAACTGCCCAGTTATGTTTGCAATAAAGAAAAATTTGGTTACTTTGCATGTATCTGCAGGATTTATAAAAGATATCTGGATTACTGAAACAAACCAAAATTGTGGTTTGAGAACTATGCATCATCTCAGCAAAGAAGACCTCTTCCCCTCACATTTTGATAAAATGAATGTTGTTGCTTCTGCTGTGAGGTTTTTTTCCAATTAAAACAGCTGTGGGATTGGAGAAGGCAGTAGCTTTAAAAGAGATAAGCCCTAATGCTCTTACAACAGCATGGTGGATAAGATTTATATGTCAGTGGTTTTCAAATGCTATCCTCTAGATGTAGAAAGAACTCAATTTCTGTGACAAATAAAAGCAAAAAAATTGAGTTACTTTTTGAATTTATTAATGTTATACAGCTTATAGAAATTGGTAAAGGGTGGAAACCATTACATACTGGTTTGATTCTTTCTACTTTATCAGCCATACAGTTAGCAGAGGCATGTTTTCTGAATGATTTTCAGTTTATTTTGACGAGCAGATTGACACAAGATGCTCTAGAAAATGTATTTTCTCAGATACGCAGAAAAGCTGGTTTGAGGCCAAGTGCTTTGCAAGCTGTGAAAGCATTAAAGCTTATCTGTTTATCTCAGTTTATATCTGACATTAAGAACTCCAGTTATGCTACTGATTCAGATATTTACTTATTAAACTATGCGAAAGATGAATTTGAATTTCTGAAGGAGAAAAAAGCTTTAGAGCCTGTTACCATACCAGAAGTTTCTGATGTATCTCTACAGAATCTCACCCTTAGTGAGGAAAATAACGTCTGTTATGTATTGCAGGAGCTGCAATAAATTCTGTTTTGAAAAATGCATGTAATTCATGCTCACAGTTTCTCTTAGTTTGTGAGCAAAATACTCCTTCCATTGATGAAAATAAGCAGTACATAATTAATTTTGCAAATTTAGGTGGGCTTAAATGTCCTTCTCCAGAAATTTTTAAATTGTGCCTTCTGTGTGAAAAAATAATTCAAAATTTTTTAGACGAAATAATACATGGAAATGTAACTATGGATGTGGAATTTGTTAATATGATTTGTAAGAAAGCAGGCGAGGTAAATATTCCCTCCTGTTGCAATATCAAAACAAAGATAATAAAATATTATTTGACTGCCCGTGGAATTGGTCTCAAGAAGCTTCTTCAAAATAAAAGGCAGCAGCGGCAAAGTTTTGCATCTCCTGCTTTTAAAAGGAAGAAAGTAAACTAGAATCTAATCAAGAGTTTAAGAAGTTTTTTTGCTGCTGTTCAGTTCTGTCTGTAAAAAAGTAGAGTAGTTGTCACTGAAAAATTGCTGCTTGTCTCTTCGAATAATAATTAGGCCCACCAACAGCTGAATGGTTAAAGTTACTGAATGCTGGGAGTTCCATCTTCTGTTCTATTTCCGAACAGGCTGGCTGCATGGTTGGTTTTTTTGTGGTTTTTTTCCCCATGTGTAATGTGAATACAAGCCAGTTCTCCTTAGAAAGTCCTCTACAATAGAAGATCTCATAGTCAGCTAAATCGGATTTACTTTTGTGTGACCTTAAATGAGGCATCAATTGTGAATCTGTTTTGGCATGTTATTAGGAATTTTAAATGAAACATTTATTGCTGTTGTGAAAAGAATGATCAACTGATGTTTACCTTACTAATCAATGTCTTATAGTATTGTAATGGCTTGCAGGATTTTTCATAATGGGATGTTGCATATGTTTTACTCTTCTTTTTACCAAATAAATAGAGTATGTTCCTAATCAGACATTTCTTCTTTCTTCTTTTGTACCAGGGTTATATAGTATGATGTGATAATTTGGATTTGTTTATAGAATACATAACAGTATTTTTTGACATTCTAATAGAACCAGTGTATTTTATTTATTTACTTATTGCTTTAAAACAGATTTTGAATCAAGGCTTACTTCCCCACCCCTTTGGGTATGCACATAAAACATGTTTAAGCTATATTTATAATATATCAATGAGATACAGTGGATGGACAAAAATATGGAAACACCTTGTGAAATGCATGTTTGAAAAGAAAGATTGATTTTAATGAAATGTAGGTGGCGCTGGCGTTTTTGACTACTGACGCCACCTATACAACTTCGTAAATGTGCTAAACAGTTCAGTTGTTGTCGGAGTACTGTTATGTGAGGTTGTCATTGCATTATGTCAGAGTTAACAGACTTCGAACGTGGGCAAATTGTTGGAGCACGTATGGTAGGTGCTTCCGTAAGCAAGGTAGCCGAGGTGTTTAGTGTTTCAAGAGGTACTGTATCGAAGATTTATTCCGCATATTTGAAAAGCGGAAAAACATCATCTGCTAAATCACAGGGCGGACGAAAGTGTGTCCTGAGTGATCGTGACAGACGATCATTAAGGGCAATTGTGACGAAAAATAAGAAGACCCACAGCTGCAAAAGTTACTGCTGAAATGAATGTTGTGTTACCGAACCCTGTGAGTACCAAAACAATGAGAAGGGAGCTTCATAAACAGGGAATTGCTGGCCGTGCTGCAATTGAGAAGCCACTCATCAGTGACGCTAATGCCCGTAACAGGAAAAGGTGGTGTTTAAAAAGTCATAAAGCCTGGACTATAGAGCAGTGGAAGCGAGTAATATGGTCTGACGAGTCTTCTTTCACATTGTTCTTTTTTCCCACTTCTAGCCGAGTTTACGTCTGGAGAACGCCATCTCAAGCCTATAATACAGACTGTTTGTTGCCAAGAGTGAAACATGGCGGGGGTTTCTGTTTCTGGTTTGGGACAGCCATAAATAGTCCAGCCATATCGTGGTTTTCTCTGCTAGCCCCACAATGAAACTGTGGGTCCAGGGAACTTAATGGTTTAAATTTTGTGTTTTTGCATTTATTTATTCAAACATCTCCGCATATAAATGAGAATTAATTATATTATATTAGTTTTAAAAGTAAAACTAATATAATATCATTCTATATAAAGCTGTTTGATGTATAATGGAAAAAATTCAATTACTGCAGTATGTTTTAATAAAATTTGAATATAATAGACTGAATTGCACTACATTAGACCAAAAAGCAAAACATTTTTATTTATTTATCTTTATTTTCACTATATGTGTTTGTCATATGTTTGTTACTAGAGGACTTATTTTATAGATTTGAAGCTAAATAATATTTTTATGTTTTTACTTATGCAAATTAATTAATAAAAAGAACTGTGATTTAAGTATTGTCTTTGCTGTGATATAGATTGAATCTTATTATGTTATGGAATTATCATTTAAATATTCAGATACGTGTAATATTAAGAGCATATGTATGTAAGTATAATTTTTCCAAGTATAATAAAAAGTAACCATCAACAACAAATAAACTTATAAGTAAATAGTATCTGTAAATTCTGTATGTAAAGGTATTATTTTTATTTTTATTTATTTGTGTGTGTATTATTTTAATATTGTTTATAGCTAAATAAAGAAAAAAAAATTAATGGAATTTTTTACTCTATTAAATCTATGAATCCCACAGTCATCTGAGCATTGAAGTAATTTTTATAGCATTCTGCACTTCATTCTAAAAGCATTATAATTTAAAGGTGTATATCTTGAATCAGTATTTAAAATCATAAAGTGTTTAGCAGCTTTTTTCTGGAAACACACACAA